TGTCCGTGTGTGTGCTTTCCCTCCTGACTCACGGCCGTCCGAGGTCTGCAACCCTTCGTTGTGCACGGAACAGTCGGGGCGTGGACCCGAGGAACCCTACTAGAAGGAACGAGGCCCCTTTCTCTCAGAAGTGAAACTTCGCCCTCCCCATGGGAAGCCTCAGGAAAACCGAGGGCAGGCTGTGAAACAATGCAAGGAACACGGAGCCCCTCCCCAACGAAAAGGGTTCCTTCTTCAGCGCCCCGACTGTAGGTTCGCGCGGCGTCGGCGCGCGCAAAATTTTTGCTGACACTGCGGCGATCGTTCCACCTTGAACCGATCGCGGCCCCGATGGTTCAAGGTCGACTCCCGTCGGGTCCTTTGGCGCTACCGTGTCCCTCGGTGCTTCCGCGCGGCTCGATCGTGCGGAATTCAACCCTGAACGCTTTCGCCAGCGTCGCCGGCGCGCCATCGCCGCATGAACCTACCGTGAATCTGTTTTTCTGGGAGGGGAGGAGAGGAGGGGAAAGGGAAGGACAGGGAACGCATCCACCAATCGGTTTCTCGAGCGGATCCCGATTCTAGACGAGCGAGTTCCACTACCCGCAAAGTAACTGCTCGCAAATGGCCTGGATCCGCCGCGGGGGATCTACGATGCGTCACACCGAAAACGGGCATGCGCTGTTCGGACGCTTGCGAGTAGGCGCTTTGCGAGTGGGGGAACGCGCTCGGCGAAATTCTGCGCCTCGCCCCCGTCGCCCGACGTTGCGCCTCGCGTCCTGCGGTGAGCGAGGCGCGATCCTGCGCGTTCCTCTTCGCGCCCTCGGCGCCCGCGCCTGGGACACGCCCGCTCGAAGACTCCCACACGTTTTGAATCTTCGCAGGCTCCTCCTCGTCCTCCCCCTCCCCCTCCCCCTCCTCCTCCTCCTGTTCCTCCTCGTCCTCGTCCTCCTCCTCGTCCTTCTCCTCCTCGTCCTCGTCCTCGTCCTCCTCCTCCTCCTCGTCCTCGTCCTCCTCCTCCTCCTCCCTCCTCCTCCTCCTCTTCCCGCTCTTGGCCTCTTGGCCAAGACCGCGACGCGCGGAGCCGACCATCTGCGCGCCCCCGCGGGTGACCTGCCTTCGTCTCGAGGCAGACAGCTTGCCGTCGCTCGGACGTCCCTTCCCCGCGCCTTTTTCTTCGGCTCCGCGCGCGGCTTTTTTTCGCGGGATGCTCCAGGAGGCTCCCGAATACTCCCCGCCGAGGAGAAGTGCACACGTCGGAGCGATACCAAGACGAGCTGCGCGGACCGAAGCTTTCGGAGGTCCGCGCGGAGTTCCTGGATCGGCGCTGGCCCCCCCCCTGGCGGCGCCTCTGACGCCGCCGCGGTCGCCCTCCGCGCGCCACTGAGAGAGGTCCGACGCCGATCCAAGGAGTCCGCGCGGACCTCCGAAAGTTTGCTCTTATGTTTCTGTCTCCTCTGAAGGGGCCCTGGGACACACAAATAAATACACACAAATAAGAGGATTCCCCATATTTTCATATGTTTTCTGGGTGTCTGTCTTCCCCCCCACTTCCCATATTTTCCCATATTTTCCTGGGAATCGACGACTACTTGTGTCTGTGTGTTTTTCCCCTCCTGTCTCCTCTTCCTTCATCGGAGATCGACCGCATCGCCAATGTCCACTGGGGTGCCTATAACTTCGCGCGACGCGCACCGCGACTGCGCGAAGAACGCGCGACGCACGCCTTAGGAGAGGGGCAGCTGTCCAGCCCAGGCCGGGACGCGCGAAGCGCCATGCGGTCAAAAACCCTTAGAAGGAGGCGCGGCTCTGCTCAGGCTACCCTTGCGTCCTTGCTCCTCCTTGCTCCTGCGTCCTCGAGGCTTCCGTCGCCCGCCGCCCCAGAAATCCCAACTTCGGCTTCCAAGGGTCTCGCGTCCTTGCCGCGCGTCCTTTATCAGGGTTTTTGACTGTATCTTCGCGCCCCTGGCGGTGACCTGGGCAAGCGAAGTCATCGAATCGAAAACAGGGCGCCCGCGGGCGGATCGGATCGCCCCACGCCGCGCGAGGGCACCGGCACGCACCACGGAGCGTCGGCCGAGATCGTGGACCGCCCTGCCGGCTGCGCCTGCCTCGACGTGCGGCCCCCGACCCGTCCCGCACGCGCGTCCTGACCGGGACTTCGAGGCGCACCCAGCCACCACGGCGGCGAAGGCGCCCCAGGGAGGACCAGACAGGCGCCAGGACGTGAGGACCGCGCCCCTCCTCACCTGGAGGCTTCCTGCAGGGGGCCACAGCAGACGAGGTCCGAATATCGCACCGCGCTGGCGACGCATCGGGATGGCACAGCTCGGGCTCGGAACCGCGCCGCACCGATGAGACGCATCGGCGATGCGGCCCCATCCTCCGACCCCGTGTGCGGTAGATTCGTGCCGTGACGACCCCAGCGCTCGCTTCTGACTCCGCGCATCGTTCAACCTGTCACGATCGGCGACTTCCTCCTCCCCCCTCCTCCCTCCTCCCTCCTCCTCATCCTCCTCCTCCTCCTTCTCCTCCTCCCCCTCCTCCCTCCTCCACTTTTTTTCCTTATGCATAATTTATCCCTGTCGCACCCTGAGGCCAGTTTTTAGGGCGTGCCGGGCATTTCGCCTGAGACTTCCTCACCATTTATGACCCAGAAGTTTCAACAATGACAACAGTTTTATAGATGAAGGGCGGGTCGTTAGCAAAATGTGGCTCTCGCCAAAGCGCCGCGCACATTCGTTTAAAAGTAATGCAAGAGTTTCACGGATTGAGGGCGACTGGTTTTCAACATGTGGCTCTCGCCTAAGCGCCGCGCACACACTCGTTGTATTATTTACAAGAGTTTCACGGATTGAGGGAGGTTCCTTTTCAAAATGGTGTTCTCGCCTCATCGCCGCGCACATTCCTTCTTAAGATTTACAAGAGTTTCACGGATTCCCATGATCAGCGAACCAGAGACGGTGTTCTGGAAGCATTCCGGATTATGAGGGTGCAACAGTTAGCTGCATTGAGTCGCGGTGTTGAAGTCCCAAGAATGGCGTTCTGGCAAAATTCAGGATCGTCAAGACGCAACACTCAAGTTGATCCGTGGCGTTGGAATCCCGAGAAAAATGTTTTGGCATGCTTCAAGGTCTTCAAACGGTTGTCTTACAACGAGGCAGTTTCCTGTGGAAATGACACGTTGAAGGGGCCTCATTATGAAGAGGGAGCTTGGAGGGAGGGTTGATTCCAACATCGTTGATGACTCTTGGGTTTACACTGGTCCTCCCTCCTCCTCCTCCTCCGCCTCCTCCTCCGCCTCCTCCTCCTCCGCCTCCTCCTCCTCCTCCTCCTCCTCCTCTCTCCCGCCTCCTCCTCCCCCCCCCCCTCCTCCTCCTCTCCTCCTCCTCCGCCTCTCCTCCTCCTCCTCCTCCTCCTCCTCCTCCTCCTCCTCCTCCCCTCCTCCTCTCCTCCTCCTCCTCCTCCCTCCTCCTCTCGTCCCTCCTCCTCGTCCCTCCTCCTCCCCCTCCTGCTCCTCCCTCCTTCTCCTCCTCCTCCTCCTCCTCCTCCTAATACCTTGCGCCCTCTTTCACCTCCACCTCCTCCTCCTCCTCCTCCTCCTCCTCCTCCTCCTCCCCATCGCCAGAACGGCCCGTGTTGGCTGACTCTGGGCCTCCGGCGGCGCTCGTGGCGGGGTCGCCGCCCCGCGCCGGCACGGCGCGGACCTGCCGCACGCCGGCCCCAGCTGAGCAGCATGCCCGGACTCTCCCGCACGGGATCGGGCGCGGCGCCAGGTTTTCTTTTTCCCGAAGCATTGCTCGCGGCCATGCTTGGTTGATATATACTCTGGTGCGATGTGGTCTGATCACAACGAAAACTGCCTGGTGAAGGTATCCTCTGGTGTGATGTGGTCTGATCACAACGACAACTGCCTGGTGAAGGTATCCTCTGGTGTGATGTGGTCTGATCACAGCGAAAACTGCCAGGACACTAGGTGGGGGGGGCGATGAAACATGCACCTTTCGTGCCCCTGCTGGGCGCACAGGGGTGCCCCTTTCGGGCACGAAAGGTGCACGTTTCTCTCCCCCCCCCCACACACACACAAGTTGTCGCCCCTCCCCGTTACACGTCGGTCGGAAGAAGCAGGTATCAAAAAATGAAGGAAGCCGGATGGAGCAGACCGGGCTCAGGCCTTCCCAGAGAATGACACCACTCAGCAGGAGCACATCGACTCCTGGAGTAGGATGGCGCCTAGAATAGACTGGGACCCGGAACTCCAAGAAACACCTCCGAATCACTTTCTGAGGGTAGAGGGCTCAGGGTGAAATCCAGATGGGCCTTTGCACCTCGAAAACCAATCCGTCCTGTGATTCACCGTTTGCAGATTCAAGCCTCGAACATCCGTCGAAACGGCATTTCAAACTTCACCCCGTGCCCTCCACCCAAAGAGAATGCTCGGATTTCAACGACCGACGTGTACGCGGCGCCCGCACGGGGCCGTCCTCGGCGGCTTCCGGAGCGCCTGCCGCGGCCCGCGCCGCATCGCCCCGCGGGGCCCCCGCGCCCGATGCGGCGGGCGCGGGCGGGGGGGGGGGGCCGGCGGCGCTCGCGCTCGCGGCGCTCGCGGGCGCGGCTGGGCGGCGCCTCGCCAGTGGAGGGCTCGAGCCCAGGGGCGGCCCCCGACCAGCCACGGCGCCTGCGCACCTGGAGGCATCCCGAGTGGGGTCCGAGCGGGTGGGGTCAGGAGGATCGCGCCGCATCGCCGGTTCATCGGCGACGCCGACGTGGAGAAGATCAGGCGGCGACTACTACTACTACTACGACTACGACTACGACTACGACTACGACTACTACTACTACTACTACTACTACTACTACTACTACTACTACTACTACTACTACTACTACCACTATTATTACTACCACTACCACTACCACTACCACTACCACTACCAATACCACTACCACTACCACTACCACTACCACTACCACTACCAGCACCACTACTACTAGTACTACGACTACTACTACTACTACTA